AAAATGGTGCTATGTTGGAAATTTTTTGTATAGACTTACATGAAGTACGTTTTTAACCCTACAGTGTGTTTTTGAAATATATGTGAAGTCCTGGCGTTTAGGTAATACTCACCCTTTTGACATCTTCTAGGACCTATAGTCGAATTTTATGGCAAATAAATTTGTAGAATATTTGGACCTGCTACGATCTCATTTAATGGGATTTTTTAACTATATTTTGAAAAAAAAGGACCAAAAAGACCCCTTTGTTGACTTTGATGAGGTTAAAATTTCCGACCTAAATAATTATCGTTCTATTATCTCTAATATTGGCGAAAATACTATATACCTGAAATCTAAGAATTCCACGGGTCAAAATTTGAATATTTCAAGAAATGTAAAAAAGAGGGGAAAATTGACCCCCTCTATCTGGGCGATTTAAACTTTCAAAACGCCAATACATGAGTCTTCAATTTTTAACTTTACTTTCATAATCTGCTGAATGTTGTCGCACAGTATAATTAATATTATTGTTACATCTCTCAATATTATAAATAATTATAGTAATTATTTGAAAAAAAAAAAATTAAATTTCAAAATTACCTTTGCTTGACCTTCGTGCACATTTTGCAAAAAGCACATTGCAATTAAAATCGAAACTTGGCCACCAGCCATTCTTTCCCGGCGGATTAATGTGTAATGAAATAAAATTCAAAAAATTTTTGAGGCATAATTATTCGATAGAAATCTTTTTTTTTTCTTATCTGATTCAGGGGTTCATAAAAACACAGAAATTAATTACTTTAAAATAAGGGCCAACATTCGGAAGAAATGGAGCCAGCAAAACACATCTTCGACTTATTTAGGATTTCTGCGTTATGAAAGTTTTGGGCTCAGTCGGAGACATACTTCACGATTTATCGTGCGACCGGATATGACTTGGTATACTCCAAGCCCGATTTCGATACCACATGTATGGGGTGTACCACATCGTTTTCGATATGACACATATTCAACAGTATTTTAGGCCACCCATTAACCTGATCTCACAAAAAATATAATTATATTTAATTACTCAATTTTAATGTTTTAAAATTATACCATTTATTAATATTTTTCATCAATATTTTTCAATATTGTTTTTTTAATTGCTTCATTTCGCTTCAGCCATTTATTAAATATTTGGACAATTTAGATTCAGTTATCGTTTGGAAAATTGAAATGTACACATCAATTAAAATCAAATTACGGACAAAACTATTTTTCATATAAGTTCCGTTTTGTGAATTAAAGGTAACATTTCAATAAATGACAAGAAGTGAGTGTGTAATTCTCATTTACTTGGGAATGCTCGTTACTTAAAAAAACTTGCTTTCCATCAAAGTCCTCATATCCAAAAAGCTGAAAAAGCCAAGTGATCATTCTCTTTGCTGGGATGAAATGATGATGTTGGTAGCGGGCAGCACATAATTTTATTGATATACCCTCAGTCATATGGCTACAGCGGGCATATATAATTTGAATTGCTATAACTCTCATAAAAAGCGAAAAAAAGCATCAGATTCTCTTCAAGATTTGGGCTACCCCTTCTGGTACCTTTCCCACAAAGGGTCATAACTTTTTATTATATTTTTATACCCTCCACCTTGGAAAGGAGGGTATATTGACTTTGCCATTGCGTTTGTAACATCCTTAAATATTCGTCGTAGACCCCATGAAGTATATATATTCATAATCAGCATAAAATTCTAAGTCGATTTAAATATGACCGTCTGCCTGTCTGTCCGTCTGTCTGTCTGTTGAAATCACGATACAGCCCACATTATTTGACGTAGAGCTCCAAAAGCCCACATTCTTTGAAGCAGAGCAATTGGTATTGTGTCTAGAATGGATGGTATTGAAAATGAGATATAACGGTCCACGTTCTGGTATAGTCCCCATATAACGGTACCTCCCAATATTCGGTATTCTGATGATTTATGTCACATTTTTTCACGGATTTGTCTAAAAATTGGTATTTATGGGTCATAATGGGTTTTAGTTCGTGTGACGAAACATTGTATGTATAGGTCCACGTTTTGGTATAGTCCCCATATAACGGTACCTCCCGATATTCGGTATTTTGATGGTTTTTGCCACATTTTTTCACGAATTTGTCTGACAATTGGTATTTGTAGGCCATAGCGGGTCCCTGTACGTGTGGCGAAACATTGTCTGTATAGGTCCACGTTTTGGTACAGTCCCCATATAACGGTACCTCCCAATATTCGGTATTCTGATGATTTTTGACACATTTTTTCACGGATTTGTCTAAAAATTGGTATTTTTTGGTCATAATGGGTTCTAGCTCCGGTGGCGAAACATTGCATGTATGGGTCCATGATTTGGTATAGCCCCCCATATAAAGGTACCTCCCGATATTCGGTATTTTGATGGTTTTTGCCACATTTTTTCACTGATTTGTCTAAAAATTGGTATTTGTGGGTCATAATGGGTCCTATTTCATGTGGGGAAACATTGCATGTATGGTTCCACGTTTTGGTATAGTCCCCATATAACGGTACCTCCCGATATTCGGTATTTTGATGATTTTTGCCACATTTTTTCACTGATTTGTCTTAGAAATTGGTATTTGTGGGTCATAATGGGTTCTAGCTCCGGTGGCGAAACATTGCATGTATGGGTCCACGTTTTGGTATAGCCCCCATATTTCGGTACCTCCCGATATTCGGTATTTTGATGATTTTTGCCACATTTTTTCACTGACTTATCTAAAAATTGGTATTTGTTGGTCATAATGGGTCCCAGTTCGTGTGGCGAGTCACTGTAATTATAGGTCCACGTTTTGGTATAGTCCCCATATAACGGTACGTCAAAATATTCGGTATTTTGATGATTTTTGACACATTTTTTCACGAATTTCTCTTAAAATTGGTAGTTGTAGGTCCACGATTTGGTATAGGGCCCATATAACGATACTTCCCGATATTCGGCATTTTAATGGTTTTTGCCACATTTCTTCTAATGTTTGCTTTACCCTAAGGTGGAGGGTATTAAAAGTTTGGCCTGGCCGAACTTAATATTTTTTTTTTGTACTTGTTTTATAATATTTTTATCTTCCATAACATGCGAAAATAGTCAGCGGTTCTACTTAAACTTTGTCTATCTTAATATTTCTCTCAACGAGACATTATTCTAACAAGTTAAAGAGTATGAGTCGGTTATGCCAAAAAATTGATACCCTAAGCGCTTATATGTACGTTTATTAAAATATATTTTAACATGTTTCATTATATTGACCCTCTATAGGAGAGATAGAGTCCATTTCGCTTATGACCTTAATCTGATATAATCATTGGAGGTGACAGGTTTGGATAATATATTTTTTGTAAAATGCTCAACTTTTTTGGGAAGTTAGCGGAAAGGGTGGGTCAACATACCTAAACACGATTTTTGAGTTAAATCGCTAATTTATCTCACATTTTATAATTATTCATAATCTTAAAAAGTGAGGAAGGTACCAGGGGGTGTGGCCCAAGTTCGGCCTCCACCATTTGGAACGAATTAGGAAATTTTCAAAAAAATAAAATCCATTTAAAATTATGTTAAAATCTTAAAAATACCGAATATTTGAAGGTGCCGATATATGGGGGATATACAATATCATGGACTTATTTTCTTCCAGAGAATAAAGTACTCACAAAGTACTCCTTGTGTGGAATTTCAGACAATTCCGCTTAAAAAATGCGGCTAAAATCATCAAAATACGGTATATAGGTGGGTACTGTTATATGGGGCTACACGATATCGTGGACCGATATAGCCCATCTTCGAACTTTACCTGTCTGCAGACAAAATTTTACAAAATTTGCAAAAATTTTAGCTTCAGTATATTTCGCATTTTATGAGCGTTTCAGATATTCCATATTTGGGCGCTTTGTCGAGGAGGTACTAGAAGGAGTGGACTACTTGTCCACTCTCGCACACGTGCACATATCATGATTTGCAAAGTTTACGCAAAATCATGCGGTAAATTATTTTCTATGAAAACATTAACCTTTTGTGGCGGAGGTCCCAGAATGAATGGATCGATGATCTACGAACTCGATCTAAGTTTGACAAAAATATTACAGTGTACTAAGTTTGAACCAAATCGGATACTCCCTTTGAGAGTTATCGTGTGCACCAGCCAGACAGACAGACGGACATCGCTAAACCGACTCCAAATGTCCTGAAACGTATGTGGTCCAAGGAGACATAGGGTATAAAACCGTTATTTCGATAAGGCACGTTTTGGCCATATCAATAATATATACCTTGTCTAGCCATAATGACTAAGGGTATAATAATAACAATAATAATAATAGAAACCAAAAAAAAAACAGTGCCAAAGTGCAGTGCCAAACTTTTAATACCCTCCACCATTTGGAAGGAACTTGAAAAAAAAATAAAAAACTATCACAAATGAAAACTGTTATATGGGGGCTATACGATTACGTGGACCTGCATTTTTGTCGGAATGACAAAGCTAATACACCCTCCATAGAATGGTGGAGAGTATAAAAATCACAAACAATCGATCCGAACAGGAACGCATTACGACTCAAATTAATCCGCCGAGAGAATAAAGTTTGTCTTAATCTTTCTGAAAACGCGAGTCTTTCATTTGAGTGGTTGTTTGGCCACCACCCCTACTTAGCCTAGTTATCTCAAACATGTGCCAATGTATTTAATTTATTTCGATTGGCCTCGAAGGTCTGCTCTCCACATGTAATAAAAACATTTTGTCTAAATAAAATCTCTCTCATCTAAACATGGTAGCCCCGCTATTCTCTTTGATTATAAAGACGTATGTATAATTAAACAGAATCTCCTCACGATCAAATTGAAATTTATTTCAAGCATATTCATTTGCAGCATATTAGAGTAGTTGTTCCCCAACCCCGGCTAAGTAATTATTGTGGGCCGATTCAAATGTGTTTCCTTCCTTTACTTGCTTAGGGTTTTCCATTTAGGGCCATCTAACGTCTGATTATTAGTTGGATCTTTTTTAGAAGAATTTCTGCCGCTTTATTCTTGTGCTTATTTTCAGGATTTGTTACAACTCGACTGGGGGCGTTTTTCTTGTGCTGTGATTCTTTGGGGCTGACCACATGCATTACCTTTCTATAAAATCGTCCAATTCAGATACTCAATTTTAGACATTCCTGCTGATATTTCCGTGCTTAGCAATTACTTTTCACATTTTTTGTTTGGAGTATTTTGTTGCATTTTTTAAAGGTTTCTCCTCATCTAAAGTAGGTTATGTTCGGGGAGTTGGGTACCGCTATAGGCTTTTATCATTCATTTACATGGTTTCATTGCTGCTATAGTTACTGCGGATTGATAAATGAAAATAGAAAATGTTATTCAATTAACTTTACCCCCGAATTACATATTTCAATATTAATCGGAAACATAATTTGGGTAATTATTTCCAATGATTGACCAACTTATATTTTTAATTAGATTGTTTTGCAATTCAATTCACATAAAACTAAATCGCCGACATTTTCATTTTAGTTAAGTAAAATAGTTATGTGGACTAGAGCCACAATACTGACACTGCTTTTGATGACCGTGGTTCCATTTGTGGAACTTAAGGTATTTATAATCAGAGACCCAGTCAAATCTGTTTTATGCCCATGATTATCGCATGATTATACGCAAAGATAGACGAATTGCTGATATTTACTTGACTCTAACCCGGCAATTGCCCATGAATCTGACCCAATTGATTACCATGAAATTGAAAACTTCTGGCAAGAGTCAACTACCTGCACCGACAATGTTTGAGGCTGAATTTAGATCGTGTGATTTTTATGCTAAAAATAATGCACGGTTATTGGGATTTCTAATGCCGTTTTTAAAGAAATCCATTGCAAAAAGTAAATTTCCACAATCCTGCCCAATAGCAGCGGTAAATTTTGGAAATATTGAAAGTATTCTTGGGGAGGTTTTGAGAATTGTACGATTTTATTTTTAGGGTAATTACACTTGGATTGGCCTCAACTTGCAAGATCTGAAAATGCCAAAATTTTTACCCAACAGCCAATACGAGGTGAATGTGTTCACTTATGTGCCGAAGGAGTCGAGTAGGGAACTAGTTTTAAATACATATTTAATCACAGAAGTCAAGTGATTGATTCGGTGAATTTTTTTTTTTTTTTTTTTTTTGAAAATAAATCAATAGTTGGATTTTTTTCACTTATTAATACGATTGAACTTAATGAAACTATTGAACTATAGATATATTCACCAATGAACTGACCATGTGACTACAATATGTTCGAATTCCACTTATATCTAAATCCATTTTCAAAGATTTCGTTTTTGAAATAATGTCAAAGAGCCTTGCCCTTAGGTTTTTGACCCGGAGAATTTGGCCAATATTTACGTACTCCGCAGTGTTGTTAAATATTCAAAACAATTGCACACGAAAGTTGTGGTCCATTTTACATCTAAATAAAATCCAATGGTCATCCAAAATGCTAGACTTCTTCTCTGTCCTCAACTCTCTTCTGATGCGAAATTCCGTGTCAATTAGTTTTAAATTTTAGAAAAAAATTTTTTTTTTAGTTCATTTAACCTCTAAATGTACATCTTAAGAACAATAGGCTTAAATTCTGACCCTAACCTTACCCCATGCAAAATTTCGTAAGGATCGGACGATGATTGCGACATGCATATAATACCCTCTTAACGTAGTGTTGGGGGGTGTAAAAATTTATAAAATTACAAATCAAATTGTCAGTTAAATTGGAAAAATCGCATGCGATAAAAAATATGACAAAAATTGAAAAAAATGGAACAAAAGATATTCACTATTTATACCCTCCACTATACTATGGAGGGCATATTAACATTGTCATTCCGTTTGTAACTCCTCGAAATACTTATGTAAGACCCAACAAAGTATATATATTCTAGATCAGCGTAAAATTCTAAGTCGATTTAGCGATGTCCGTCTGTCTGTCTAGATGGTTAAAATTTTGCACACATGTTTATTTTTCCAGTAGGCAGGTTAAGTTCGTAAATGGGCCATATAGGTCCACGTTTTCATATAGCCCCCATATAACGGTATCTCCCGATATTCGGTATTTTGATGATTTTAGCGATATTGTTTTAAATTTGGTATTTGAAGTTCGAAATGGATACTGCACCCTAAGACAGAAAATTGTCTGTGCAGGTCCACGTCTTCGTACCTCGGTACCTCCCTATATTCGGTATTTTGATGATTTTAGCGTCATTATTCACCAGAGTTGTGAAAATCGGCTCAGCGGTTCTTGATTTATAAGCACAATAAATAAGATCAATTCCTTTACATATATATTGTACCTATTTTGCTATATATCCGATTTCTTGGCTGTTAGCATCACTTTAATGGTCAGAGGTGATCTTTTAATGTATTTGTGATTTGGCTGGGATTAAAAATATTCGCGGTTTAGTGGAAATTTTCCTATTTTCTTACATAAAAGTTAGGGTCTATTTTACCCGCTAATAATTGTCCGATGGCCGCTCAAATTGGTAGGTTTCTGCCCGGTCCTAAAGTCTAACTCCATGTAAATTTTCGCGTCGATTGGTTCATAATTTTGCTCTATAGAGCAACTGCAAAATCAGAAGAATTTTCTGTTTTTGGTCCATTCCAACCCCTAAATATCGTGCAATCATCTCCAAAGACAATAGGGTTCTATTCTGACCCTAATCCCACCTACATTTTCAATTTCGTGAGGATCGGTTCATAATTGTGACCTGTAGCTTGATTACAAATTAACATGGACAGACGGACGGACGGATATAAATAGCTAGATCGACTCATCACGGCCAGATAGGAAGATCCATATATACTTTCCCATGTGGGAAACCATTATTTCGTGGTGTTACATAATTTTTGGCCCAATCAAACTTATAAAAGGATAGGAATTATAGCTCCATCACAACTCACAGAAGTTCAAAAACATGAAGATTTAAAAAAGGCTTGATTTCATATTCGTTATGCTTGTGGCCTTTTCCTCCGCAGCGGGTGCGCAGATCCATTCCCCTTCTATCAGGTACTTACACTAATATTCGCCGGTACCAGAGCATCCTCAACAACGTTTGATCTAACTATCAAGCGTTTTGATTTCAGGATTTTGTTGACGTCACTTATATTCGCCGGTATCAAACCAAGAACGTTTTCAAATTATTTATGGTTGTGGTATTTCCCTCCGCACCGAATACACAGATCCATTACCTTTTTATTATTGACAGTTTTCTCCACATCGAATGTACAGATCCATACTGTTACTATCAGGTCCAATATACGTATATTTGCCGGTACAAAACTAAGGCTAAACCAAAACGTGGACCTACATGGCCCATTTTCAATACCAAAAGTCCTGCAGACGTAATATACATTTGAGAAAAATTTTATCAACCTACTTCTAAAGTGATTTCCACATACCGATACACGGACGGACATCGCTAAATCGACATAGATTTTTATGATAATCAAGATTATACAGGGAATATACAAATTGCAACAAAATCAAACGCCATAATTTTTACATTTTTTTGAATGAAAACAAAAAATATCGGAAATAGCATCAAATTTTAGAATAAGTTTAGATTTGTTCGAATTGGTCACCTTTGGAATTATGGCCTTCAAAGGGACAACGAAACTGTCACACGCTGCCCAAATGTTGTTTTGCGGTATTTTGGCGCATTCCCGGTGAAGCGCTGGCTTGAGGTGATCGACACTTTGGTATTTGTTAGGGCCAACCTTGCTTTCCAAAATACTCCAGACACAATAGTTCAACGGATTTGTATCCGGTGATTTTGGTGGCTATTGTGCTTTGGAAATGAAGCGAGGAACCTCATTTTGTAACCATTCTTGGGTGGCGCGTGCTGAAACCTGTTGGTATGTCCGAGGTCTGCGGCCAAAATGTTTGCGTGCCTTAGGCTTTAATAATACACCCTCCAGAATATTTTCGCTATAATATTCGTCATTCACTCTGATACCACGGTAGATTAATACGAGCGGATAGCGACCATCGGCTGTTATGGCGGCTCACAACATCACCATGGCCAGCGCTTAAGTTCTGGTGGCCAACCGAAGGTGCACATTTTCAGCTGACCTCTTTGGCTAGTAAACAGGATCATTTTGTTTGTTTACAAACTGCTGGACAACGAATGTTTTCTCATCGGAGAAAACCGAATTCGGCAGTTTACCATTTTGGGTCAAGCGAAGCAACTCTTTGGCGCTTTTGAGTCTATTTTCTCCCTGTTGCGGTGTATGTTCTTGCACTTTTTAGAATTTTAATGGCTTTACACCGAACTCATTTTTCAATATTTGCCGAATGCAATATTGCGATATGTTCAGCTCACAAGCCACTTTTCGGCCACTGTGACGCGGGTTTCGGTCAAATCGCTTCTTTATTTTTCGAAGCATTTCTGCTGATGTCGCTGTTTTCTTCCGTCCACTTCCTTGACGTCGTTGGACTACGCTATCAGTATCACGGTAACGAGAATGGTACGAGACACAAAATGTTTATTAACATTTAATTGTTGAAGAGATCTGACGATAGCCACTTGTGGTTTTCCAGCCACATATAAAGAAATCACACTATCACGCTTGAATTCCATCACGAATAACCTTTTTCTGAAAAATTCTCTCCAAAATGCTTTCGTACGGTTGTCATCAATATAATGAGCTGTCACTGAAATGATTTTAACATCTGTCGGACGAGTGGCTTAGAAATGACAGCAGTCTGAAGTTGGTTGCAGTTTTTTCATCTCACCCTGTATATAACTTTTCGAAAGATTTAAATGGTAGTACGACTATAAAACAGAAAATAAAACCTGTCCAATATCTCTCTTACATTTTTTAAATCTTTGTTTTTTGGATCAACTACGGATATTGGTATGACCTGTAGAGAAGTTTACGTGACCCTACCACAAATTTTCAAAGCACAGAAAAAAAGATCGATACAAAAATCTGAAATATATATTCCTCGTAAGACTTTCATGGTAGTTTGACTATAATATAAACACTTTAGCTGATCCTTTATGAGGTCAAATGTGAGGAAACTGGTGTGACCTCGTCAGAAGCTTGAGTGACCCCAACGCCAAGTGCCATTTTCTTCTAGGTTATCTATATATCTCTTCGATAGACTATCATTTTCTTCCGATACCTCTCGTTGGCTGGTCGTTACTGTTGCTACAGTGAAATATTTGATGGTGGACACCGAAGTGAAGGTTCCTGCTTGAGAAATTTCAGCTATTCGGTTTGAAATCAGCCCATTTGCGGATATTCTGAAGTGCCCTGAAGTTTTCGGTGGTAAGACAACAATTTGTATTGATTACAACATTCGCCACATAAAGATATGTTCCCTGGAGGTGTAAAACAGTCGACTGATAGTATTTCATTTCCCAGGTGTCGACCTCATCCCGATTGGGCCGAAATTATTCAACTGGTGAACGATTAATTTGCATTCACAGTTTCTATTACAGCTTTTGTCTGCTTCTTGGACAAAAGATCCTTAATAGATAAATATTTTTCAAGAGAAGGCTTTCGAGACCTCTAAGATTTCGGAAAGTAATATTTCAAAGGGCTAAACTTCGTCTTACTTTATTTCCGTTAATAAATGCAAATTTAAGACTAGTTCCCGTGCCGAATCCCTCGGTATATAAGTTAGCACGGTAACATCGTATTGGCTGTTTGGTAAAAATGTTGGTATTTTCAGATCTTTTAAATTTAAGCCAATCCAAGTGTAGTTGGCCTGCAAAGGAAAATTAAAAATATCCAATAATAAATCACTTTCACAAAATGTTCAACCAAAATTTACCGCCTCTATTGGACATCCCTTGGGAAATTGACTGTTGACAATGGATTTCCTAAGAAACGGCAACAGGAACCCCGAAAATCGGGCGTTTTTCTTTGTCAGAAAATCACAAACTTTAAATTCGACTTGAAACATGATCGGTGAGCGATCTGGGTGCTGCACCATTGCATTGGTTTTCAATTTCAGTGTTACCAGCAAGCCTAAATTGTTTGGTAATTTTCGAGTGACTTGTACAAAAATATCCGCAATATGTTTATCCTTGCGAATATCGAGACGATAAGCCAGGGCATAGGATTTATTTACTTTGGTCTCTGCCGTCAAGAATTTAATGGTTTTATAATCTAAAGTTCTCTGAAAAGTATAACAGGTATTTTAGAAAATATATAAATCGAACCAAGTTTGTTAAAAGATTTACCTTAAGAGCCACCACAGAAATCTGTGTAGCCAAAATTAGTGAGCATAGTGTGCAGATATTCACGATGAACATCACACTCAACTAAAAGGGAAACTGTCCAAAATTGAATTTTTTTCAAACCACTTTTGTATAATAAAACAATCAGGCTAATTAAGAATCTTAAAAAATTATTTAATCATTTGAAAATAATTACCCAAAATTATTTTAGATTAATATTGAAATATATAATTAGGCGTATTTCTAGTCCCAAAACATTTGATGATTTTATAATAAACATAAACCATATAATTACGCTGCCCAACAATTTTTTGTGTAGAGAGAATGAGTAATGAAACTCGACTAGGTTCGACCAGACGCTTCACTTAAGTGACGAAGTTTTTCGGCTATTAACAAACATACGAGAGAAAATGCATTTGAATTGTTTGCTCACTCTCTCAGAATGACTAAGAAGTTCACCTACTCACTCTCCTGAGTATTCTCTTTTTTCTCATACTCATATATTGTTATTCGGTCTCAATTTTAACATAAGTGACGAAATATACAAATAAGATACAAATATACGAGAGAACGTGCATTTGAATGAGAATGACTAAGAAGTTCACCTACTCACTCTCCTGAGCATTCTCTTTTTCTCTTATTCACATATTGTTATCCGGTCTCATTTCTATTCACTCTCTCATTAGTTTTGAAACAACCAAGTTAATGCCTTAATTACTAGTGACTAAATGTTCCTGGTTAAAAAAAAAAAAAAAACGACCGAACGACAAAACGAATGAGAAAGGCAGAACGATTGTTCAATGGAACAATTGGGAATAGTTAAATCTATAAAGAAATGAAAATGTAATAGAACAGAAACTAGTTCCTCTTCAGAAAAGAAACGATATTTATCGATTTGGCCAGTAAAGTAGCATGCTCAACTCTTCAATATTTTTCTAACCTCCACCATAGTATTAAGTTTTCCATTCCATTTGTAACATCTCGAAATATAGATTTTAGATCCCACCAAGTATTATCAGGGTGAGATGAAAAAACTGCAACCAACTTCAGACTGCTGTCATTTCTAAGCCACTCGTCCGACAGCTGTTAAAATTATTCTAGTGACAGCTGATTATGTTGTTTACAAGCGTTCAAAAGCATTTTGGTGAGAATTTCCCCGAAAAAAAGTTATTCGTGATGGAATTCAAGCGTGATAGTGTGATTTCTTTATATTTGGCTGAAAAACCACAAGTTGCTATTGTTAGAGAACTCCAGCATTTAAATGTCAATAAATCTTTTATGGCCCGTATCATCGCTCGTTACCGCGATATTGGTTCCGACGTCAAGGAAGTGGACGGAAGAAAACCGCAACATCAGCAAAAATGGTTTGAAATGTAAAGAAGCGACTTGATCGAAACCCGCGTCGCAATGGCCGAAAAATGGCTCGTGAGCTGCAACATATCGCAATATTCCATTCGGCAAATATTGAAAAATGAGCTCGGGGTAAAGCCATTGAAATCCCAAAAAGTGCAAGAACGTACACCGCAGCAGAAAGAAAATAGACTCAAAAGTGCTAAGGAGTTGCTTCGCTTGGCCGAAAGTGGTGAACTGCCGAATTTGGTTTTCTCCGATCTCCGATGAGAAAACATTCGTTGTCCAGCAGTTTGTAAAAAAAAAAAACAAAATGATCGTGTTTACTTGCCAAAGAGGTGAGCTGAAAATGTGCACCATCGGTTGGCCACTAGAACTCAAGCGCCGGTCATGGTGATGGTGTGGGCCGCCATAAAAGCCGATGGTCGCTCTCTGTTCGTATTAATCGACTGTGGCATCAGAATAAATGCCGAATATTATCGCGAAAATATTCTGGAGGGCTTATTAAAGCCTTGGGCACGCAAACATTTTGGCCGCAGACCTTTGATATTCTAACAGGACTCAGCACCATCGCACTTAGCACGAGCCACCCAAGAATGGTTATAAAATAATGGCCACCAAAATCTCCGGATACCAATCCGTTGGACTATTATGTCGGGAGTATTTTGGAAAGCAAGGTTGGTACTCAAAAATACCAAAGTATCGATCACCTCAAGCAAGCGCTTCGCCTGGAATTGGCCAAAATACCGCAGAGCAACATTCGGGCAGCGTGTGACAGTTTCATTGGCCGTTTGAAGGCCATAATTCTTGCCAATGGTGACCAATTCGAACAAATTTAAACTTATAATAAAATTTGATGCTATTTCCGACATTTTTGCTTTCATCCCAAAAAATTAAAAAAAAAAAAAGCATTATGTTCTGCCGGGCCGAACGTTGAATACCTTCCGCCATATGGAACGAATTTGGAAATTTTCAAAAAATAAAATACTTTTAAAATTTTTAAAATACCGAATGTAGCCGTTATATTGGGGTCTATACGACGTGGACCTACATAAGCATTGTTTGTCATAAGTCATTTCAATATTTAAATTCGAAACTTTAAATGAGCTGTGCGAAGACCTGGACCAGCATAGACAAGTTTTTGTCATAGGCTTCAAACTTCAAATACGGTATCTCAAACAATTTCGGTGAGTATTGTACCTAAAATCGTCAAAATACCAAATATATAGGGAGGTACCCATTACGAACTCTAAATACGTAATTTGAAACTACGCCGGTGAATAATGTCTCTAAAATCATCAAAATACCGAATATCGGGAGGTACCATTATATGGGGGCTATACGAAGACGTGGACCTGCACAGACAATTTTCTGTCTTAGGCTGTAGTATCCATTTCGAACTTCAAATGCGAAATTTGAAATTTAAAAATCTACGATTAAAGCCCATTATATAAACTTGTGTTTTTTAAGAATTTTGGGAGCGCCCAAAAAAATTCTTAAAAAACACAAGTTTATATCTGCTTTAAGGGTCCTATAATTATTTACAAAATTTGGTGCTCCTAAAATTTGTCAACAACGCATATTTGTAGCGTCTATACTCCATAAAATGTTACTCCAAAAATTCTTCAAAAAATCCTTGCTTATGGTCGCTTTAATGATGTCTATATGGGCTCAACAATTCTAAAAAAACAAAATCCACGTTAAAAATTATTTAAAAAACACGTTCAGGGTGTCACAAGTGGGTTCCAAAAAACACGTTTACATTTTTTTAAATCCAAAATCAACGTTATTTTTTTATAAAATCCACAATCTACGTTGAAAAATTCTATAAAAAACCAAAATCCACGTTTAAAAATTCTTTAAAAAATTCAAAATCCACGTTTAAAAATTCTTTAAAAAAATCCAAAATCCACGTTCAATTTTTTTTTAAATCAAAAATTCCAATTTTTTTTTAATCCAAGATCCATGTTGAAAAATTCTTTAAAAAATCCAAAATCCACGTTTAACAATTCTTTGAAAAAATCCAAAATCCACGTTTAAAAATTCTTTAAAAAAATACAAAATCAACGTTAATTTTTTTTTTTAAATACAAAATCCATGTTCAAAAATTTAAAAAAAAAAATCCAAAATCCATGTTTAAAAATTCTTTAAAAAAAATCCAAAATCCACGTTTTAAAATTATTTATGTTCATGGTACGCCTATGGGGCTCAAAAAAGTCCGCATGCAATCCAAAAGTTCTTTACAAAAATCAGAGTTCACAATAGTCCACAAATGTATCTCTTATTTTTTTAATCCAGGTTTAATGTGTCTTTCTGAGTTTTTTTTTTTTGTGAATCCACACTAAAGGTGCATTCACAGGTGGCAATTCAAAAATAAATCTTATTAATATCAGAACATAATATTTCACATATATTGTTAGATTTAAGTTTTCAATTGACTATTTAGAAATTTTGAATCAATAAAACTTTATCTGAAAAATTCAAATTATTAAAAAATCTAGTAATTTAGAATGTCAAATATAGCCATCCAGATTAACTGTTTTTTGAATACAAAATAATTCTTTTCTAATAATTATTTTTTCGTATAATATGGTAATTAGAATAATTGATTTTTGGTTTGTTTTATAACCAGACATTAGTAAAATTTCAAAATTAGTCAGTACCTCAAAACTCCCATTCAGTCAAGTGTAAAATTATGTGGAGTAGAGGCACAGTACTGGTATTACTACTCATACATTTGACCCAAGTTCCAGTTATGGAACTTAAGGTAATTTTCAAAATTATTTCGTTGGAATTTTCAAAATCAATTTTTGTTTTAGAAAACTGAAAATTACAAAAGTATTAATTTTGTGACTTCGGAAACAACCACGGATAAATTATATGTACGGGAATATCGCATGGATATCCGCAAGGACAGACGTATTGCGGATATTTTTGTCGAGGTCGGGCAGCAGGTGCCAATGAATGTGACCTTATTGGTTACACTGAAATTACAAATTTCGGCCAAAGATCCAGAGCGGCAACAACGATCTCCAACCATGTTTCAAGTTGAATTTAAATACTGTGAATTGCTGTCGAAGAAGAATGCAAGATTGTCGGGGTTCCTGTTGCCGTTTCTCAAGAAATCCTTTGCGAAAAGTCAATTTCCCAAGAGGTGTCCCATAGAGGCGGTAAATTGGATTTTTAAATTGGAATTTTTATGGAAGAAATTTTATCGAATTTTTCTTTTGTATTTAGGGTAACTATTCATTGATTGGTCTAAATTTAGAAGATCTAAAAATACCCACATTTTTACCAACCAGCCAATACGATGTAACGGTGTATGGATTTATACCAAGGAAAACGAACAAAGAAGTGTTGGTCGGTTTACATTTGTTGACCGAAATAAAGTGAGGACTACCGAGGAAGAATTGTAATGAGTTGGCGTAATTGGAAAGACATTTATTTGAATTACATGGTAATAAAAGGGGTAGGGGCATGACATGAGAGAGGTCTCCTATAGAAATATGCTATACAAGCGTCTTCTGGACTTTAAAGATCCTCTTTAGGTATCTTACAGGTTTTCTTCACATAAAATATTTTTTAAAAGTCTTCTTGTCATAGAAGAACTTTTGTGGGTCTTAAGAGCAAAAAATCTACTGAGAGAGATCTCCTATAGAATGTCAGCTATTTAGGGGCTTTCTAGACCTAAAGGACTCTCTATAGGTATCCTATACCTTGAAGGTCCTCTATCGTAGATTCACAGGATATATAAAAAACTTTCTATGGAGTTTCTGGATATAGAAGACCCTTTGCGGATCTTCTGCATATGGAAGAAATTGTTCTCAACCTACCTATAGATGTTCTTTAATATCTATCGGTCTATCAGATATAGGAAGCCTTTTCAAATATCTTCTGGTATTAGAAAGCTATCTGAAGGCCTTTTGAAAATTTAATTTTTTTAAGATATTCTGGGCATGAAAGGCATTCTCTAATTCTTCTGAGCACAGAAGACATGTAGAAGGTCAGCTTTATAGAGAGGACTTCCACACGAACTTCATAAACATGAAGACCGGTAGAAGTTTTCATTCATTCATTTATCGAAGGGTTTTTCCCCGAATATAATTTTTTTATATGGGTCTTATGGTAGAAGTTTTCAGAGATCTATAAGAGGTCAGCCATTTATAGAAGGGGTTTCCAAAATGTAAAATACTTTATATAGGTCTTCTGAACCCATAGACCTTTTGAAGGTCGACTGGATATAAAGAAATTCTATGGGTCTTCTGAATTCTGAAGAGCTTCACAGGAGAAGGGCATTCTCTAAGCCTCTGGATGCAGAATGCATGTTAGAGGTCTGCTTTATAAAGAGGACTACCACACGATCTTCATAATCATGAAGACCGGTTGAATATTTCATATACCTATTAAAGGTCAGCCATTTATCGAAGGGGTTTCCCCGAATGTAAAATACTTTATATAGTCTTCTGCTAGAAGTTTTCAGAGACCTATAAGAGGTCAGTCATTTGTAGAAGGGTTTTCCCGAATGTGGATATGAAGAAATTTGAAGACATTCTGGGCATGAAAGGTATTCTACAAGTCTTCTGGACACAGAAGACAGGTTGAAGGTCTGCTTTATAAAGATGACTTCCACACGATCTACATAATCATGGAGACCGCTAGAAGTTTTCAGAGTCCTATAAGAGGTCAGCCATTCGGGTTTTCCCGAATATAAAATACTTTATATAGGTCTTTTGAACCCATAGACCTTTTGTGGGTCTTCTGGATATGAAGAAATTTTAAAGAGGTCATAAGAGGCCTGCTGGGCATAGGATACCTGATCCTGGACCTCACCTGATACTGCTCATAGGACAAGATGTTTTGGATATATAGCAGACTGGTGGAAGTATTCAGGAACCTACATTAAGCCATCCATTACCAGAAGGTTTCTCCCCGATATAAAATAATTTCCATAGGTTTTCTGGACATAGAAGACCTTTTGTGGGTGTTATAGAAGAAATTCTATGGGTCTTTCGGTCATTAAAGAGCTTTTATAGTCATACTGGTCATAGGATTCCTTTTAAAATATCCTTTGGAAGCAGAAGACTATCTGAAAGACTTTTGGAAATAGCAGGATTTATTTTTTATGATATTCTGTTCCTGAAAGACATTATCTAGGTCTTCTTGATTTAGGAGACCTGTAACAGATCTTCTTTACAAAGAAGACTTGTAGAAGGTCTTCTTTCACAGAAGACTTGTAAATGATCTGGGAGACCATTAGAAGGTGTTCTGAATATAGAAGATTGGGAGAAGTGTTCGGGGACCTACAGGAGTCATCGATTTATAAAAGGCGAATAGATTTTGTCTTTCGGTCTAGGAAGCCTATTTAAGGACTTCTTTGTCCTAAAAGTCTTCTGTACTTCTTCGAAGCTCTTCTGGGCATAGGAGGCCCGTACAAGGTATTCAGGGAAGTATAGGAGGCCAACGGATGGTTTTTCGGACGTATTGTAGGTCTTCATTTTCCAGAAAGTATACGGCGGGTCTTCGATGATCTTGTGGGTATAGGAGGCCTGTAGAAGGTGCTCAGGAAAGTATTGGTCTATTAGTCGAGAAAGTCTACCGTAGGTCTCCGATGATCTTCTGGGCATAGAAGATCAATAGAAGTTACTCAAGGAAGTACATAATGGAGGTTAGAAGGCCTATTTTAGGTCGTTTTTTGTCCCGAAAGTCTACGGTAGTTCTTCGATGATCTTCTGGACATAGGAGATCTGCAGAAGGTATTCCGTTATGAGGTCAATAGATTTCGTTTTTCGGTACAGAAGGCCTATAGGAGACTTGTAGAAGTAATTCAGGGAAGTATAGGAGGCCAATGATGGTTTGTTTTTTGGCCAAGAAGGCCTATTGTTGGGTTTCTTTGTCCCAAAAGTCTACAGTAGGTCTCCGATGATCTTCTGGACCTAGGAGACCTGTAAAAGGTATTCAGGAATGTATAGGAGGCCAGTAGATGGTTTTTCGGTGCAGAAAGCCAATTGTAAGTGTTCTTTGTCCCGAATGTCGACGGTAGGTCCTCGATGATCTTCTGGACATAGGAGACGTATAGGAGGTATTCAGGAAAGTATAGGAGGCCAATGGATGGGTTTTGCGGTCCAGAGGGCCTATTATTCTTTGTCCCGAAATTCTACGGTAGGTTTTCGATGATCTTCTTGACCTAGGAGACCTTTGAAAGGTATTCAGAAAAGTATAGGAGACCAATAGATGGTTTTTCAGTCTACTGGGCGTATTTAGAGTCTTCTTTGTCTGGAAAGTATCTGTATGTCTTCAATGATCTTCTGGACAAAGAAGGCGTATATGAGGTTTTTCGGTCCTGCGGGCCATATTTAAGGTCTTCTTGGTCCAGATAATCGACAGTAGCTCTTCGATGATCTTCTGGATCTATGAGACCTGTAGATGGTATTCAGAGAAGTATATTATGTTAAAAGATGGTCTTCTAAAATCAGAAGACCTAAAAGATTTCTTTATATACTCAAAAGATGTTGGGTGGAACCCAAAGAAAGTCTTCTATATCCAAAAGATCTACAAAATGTCAGCCATGTTCGGAGGACCTAGAAAATGTTATTCTATGTCCAAGGACCTTCAGATGGTCTTATAGGATCACAAGATCAGGAGACCTATGGGAGGTTTTCCATATCAAAAAATCTACAAAATGTCTTCTATGTTTTGGGGGACCAAGAAAATATCCGTTTATGCCCAGAGTACCCACAGAAGATTTTCTAGGATCACAAGACCAATAGAAGGTTTTTAAGTCCCGGACACCTATATGAGGCCTTCTATATCCAAGAGACCTACAGAATGTCTTCTATGTTCGGGGAACCTAGAAAATTCCTTTTATATCCAGAGTACCTACAGAAGGTCTTCTGAGATTATAAGACCAACGCAGGATTTTTTATGTCCGGAGAGCTGTAGAAGGCCTTGTATATCCAAAAAAACCTACGAAATGTCTTTTACGTTCGGGTAACCTAGAAAATACCCATCTATGGTATAGGAGACCTACAGAAGGCCTTCTATGTTTGGAGACCTAGAAAATATCATCCATATCCACAGTACCTACAGAAGGTCTTGTAGGGTCACAAGAACAAGAGAGGGAATTTTATGTTTTAAGATCTACAAAATGTCTTCTATGTTAGGGGGACCTTGAAAATATACTACTATCTTCAGAGTAGCTACAGAAGGTCTTCTAGGATCACAAGACCAACAGAAGGTTTTTAAGTCTCGGAGATCTATAGGAGGTCTTCTACCTTCAAGAGGCCTACAGAATCTAGAAAATTCCCTTCTATGTCCAGAGTACCTACAGAAGGTCTTCTGGGATCACAAAACCAACAGAGGGTATTTGAAGTCCCCGAGAACTATAGGACTATCTATAGGTCCTCAATATCCAAGAGATTTCCAAAACCCAAAAGATATTTATATACTGTGTGGAAGGCTGTAACATGTATATATTCTGAGTTTTAAATTTTATCTCATCATATTTTTTTTTTTTCAATGAAAATTTAAGATGTCTTTAAATAATACATTTTCGTACTCATTAATAATATTTTCCAAACAATAATTAAATTTTTATTTTGAATAAAAATAATTATTTTCAAATTAGTGAATACATCCCAAACAATGTTTAAATTATTTAATTGTGTCTAACTTTATTTTACAAATCATTTGTGGATTTCTATATTTCTAAAATATATTTAAAAATATGGAAATATATGTATTGACCAGATATTTATTTCTAATACTAATTCTAATGCTGACGACACAAGTATCGCATATCGAATTAAAGGTAATTTTCGAGCCTTCCGCAGTCCCAAATTTTATTCCAAATTTTTTGTTTTTCATCCAGAACTATAAAAGCATAAATTTCCTCAAAGCCGAGACAAAGGTAAATAAACTGTATGTTCGCGAGTATCGCATGGATATCCGCAAGGACAATCGCATTGCGGATATTTTTGTACAAGTGGTCCAGCAATTGCCGACCAATGTGACCTTGTTGGTCACGCTGAAGCTGAAAACTTCGGCAAAAAATGATGAGCTACAGGAACGTTCACCGACAATGTTCCAGGTCGAGTTTAAAGGCTGTGAGTTTTTGACGAAGAAAAATGCAAGATTTTCAGGGTTTCTATTGCCGTTTCTCAAGAAATCCCTTGGCAAAAGTCAGTTTCCCAGGGCCTGTCCGGTAGCGGCGGTAATTTTTTGATTATGAAACATGGATTTTTTTTTTTGTGGAGAGAGAATATTTTTCAAAGGCATTTTTTTCAATTTCAGGCTAACTACACTTGGATTGGCCTGAATTTGGAGGATCTAAAAATACCCAAATTTTTACCCACAAGCCAATATGATGTCACCGTGTTCACTTATGTACCGAGAAAATTGCAAAAGGAATTACTTGGAAGTCTACATTTGTTAACGGAAATTAAGTAAAATTCAAAACTGAAAAATATATTGAGAACATATATTTTTGAAAACAACTTGCAGG